ACACACACACACACACACACACACACACACACACACACACACACACAAACTTGATTTGTATAAACCTGAAGGTAGAAGCAAAATGTGAGGACACTGCCCTCTCAGTATCTTGCGGTGTGACGTGAGGTCACAGCTTCTCTTTTCTTTTGTAGAAAATGGGTTCTCAATGACGCTTTCTGGTTCTTAATTTATAATGGCCGCTTGCCAGTCTATAATGCCCAAGGCTACTTCTGTCAGTGTTTTTTGATTTACAGATTAAGTGTTTTATGAGGCTCAACTTAGCAACACAAATATTTAAATTGCCCCCACATTTTACAACCTTAACTACTGTATTTTATATAAAAGGCACAAAATGAATATTGTTATTGATTAAAATTGGATGCACCCGGAGGGCTTGGGATCACTGAAAGCAAAAAATGGAACATACTGAGAAATCAAAAGTGCATGCCGAGAGAGGTAGGAACAGCTACACCTCCGTTCCCGAGGACCAGGAAAAGCAGAGAGCGGTTTGAACCCCTGGGAAACTGGAGTCCAGTATTATTTTCAGAGTAACAAAGATGAGTTCAAAAATGAATAATACAGTTTTAGTAGGAATAGAATAACTTATGAGGACTCAAAAATAATATTGATATTAGTGTATGCTGCAATCACTTTTTGTTGTTTCTTGGCTTGTTTCTATGGAGTATATGCTTGTCTACTGTCTCTAACCCCTTCTGTGGAGATCAGCCTTTATGTCAGGGCACGGCCTGCCATAGATGTGCTCGACGGAATTCAGCTCTGTGAGGGAGGTTCGAAGCCTCTGCTGTGTGGATTGGCAGGCCCTTCTTGCAGGCTCTGAGCTTTTTGACAGGCATGGATTGCCCTGCAGTTTCATTTTTCATCTGAAACACTCATTTCAAAAATGACTACGTTTCTAACAAATAGCAGAAAATGCTACAGTACAGTTAACACAACTGTCAATGAGCATATCTTAATTAGAAAGCTGATACCTGAAGGTAGACCTGCCATGTGCTGTTGCGGGTCGTGTTTGCAGCCAGCTGTCCTCTGTCTAGCCAGGTACTTGCTTCTAGGTTAGTCTTCTCACACTCTTCCCATATCCCTTCAGGCAGAAGGGAGAGCTGCCCAGGGACTGAGGTTGGTTTTTTGTTTGTTTGTTTTTTTAATCAGGGTAAAGTCTTCATAAATGCTTCTAAGTAATGATTAAGTAAGAAGAATTGATCACAATTAAAATTATTTTGATAATTAATAATAACAAGCTTTTTCAGCTTTCTGATTTTATGTGAAACTTTGCCAGAGGTTTTATTTGTGTGTGTGTGTGTGTGTGTGTGTGTGTGTGTGTGTGTGTGTGTGTTGGCTATTTTTAATATGTGCTGGTTAACCTGAAAGAAATGTTACTAAAAGAAATGTTATAGATATGTCATACTTTATAGATTTTGGAACAATTCCAGCCAATGGTATTGATACAAATATGACTATATAGTTTGTAATATCTTTAACATTGTTACATTATTTGTGTGTCTATGTGCTGTGTCTGAAATATAAAATTTTAGAAAATGTTGATACCATTTATATCATTAGTTATTCCAAACTGAAAAAAATTCTTAAATTATTGGTTAGAGATTAGCAAGATATTAAAAATTAACTCAATGATAAGAAAAGATTAGAGCCTTTGGATGAAAATTAATGCTGCAGAATTTATGAAAATGATATTTGTTGACTTGAAGCAAAGCTTTAAATTTTAAAATAACTTTATTGCAAGAATTCAGGAGGCCTTTAAGTTCTTGATTATTTCTTTTGTGTTTGAGATTTGTATTGTTATTTTTATTAGTATTATTAGTGTGTGTGCTGGTGAGTGCGTGTCCAAGATGTGTGGTGTGTGCCTGCATGGTGCACATGTGTGGAGCTCACATGACAACTCTGTCGTGTTCATTCTCTCCTTCTACCTTTATGTGAGTTGCGAAGATGCGACTCAGATCATCAGGCTTGCGTAGCAAGCACCTTTACCCATTTAGCGCCAGCCAGCTAGCCGTCTGGCTTGTCCAAGAACTCATTTGGTAAATGAGAACATTAAATCATTTCTTAAAACCCTGACTGTTTAGCCATTTGCTGCATCACGACTGGAGAAATAAAGTATTTACTAAGGTGGAGTACTTCTTGTGGTCTATGTGATGCAGTGAACTTTCTCCAAGCACTGTGCTATGTAATATAAAAAACCACAAGGGAGATGTTACTGTCAGTTAGAGGAAGCAGAAGGAGAATTCGAAACCTGGCTGAAGTTGCCTAGGTTAAGAGAGCGGAAGCCTAGCCCAGAAGTTGAAGCCGCTGATTGCAGGTGAATATCATCTTAAGCCAGCAGGGAGGCTCCGGATCTTCTGGCAACACGTGAAAAGAATATCAACCAAAGGGAACTCCTGGGTGGCTACTTTATATATTACCAAATATATTTATTAAAACCTTCACTAATCTCCACCAACTGATATCAATAATCATTATTTAATTGCTTACTGGGAGTCTCGAAAGTATGAGTTCATTTTCTAAACGGTAGGAAGCTGACCAAACCCCTGAGCTGACGAACAGACATTCTGATGAACCAACACAGGAGTAAAGCAACTGCACAAAAGCACACAGTGTACAGAGGTCACAGCGTCACCAGGTCATGATGACCAAGACCAGCTGAGGCACTCATTGCCTGTACCTTCGCTTGGGACTCTCAGGACAATAAGCCTACCCCATCCCTAAGAACTGTGTGATTCCCAGGGGACTGTGCTTAAAGGTATGGGCTGTCACGAACAACTCATTGGAAATTAGACTTAACCACGCACCAATATGCCACCAATGCCGCTTCCCAGCCAGAGCTGTTTCTAGATGGCATTAGCAGAGTGGCAGTAGGCTGACCTCGTTGGCATATTTACTGATTCCCAAATAAGTCATCCAATATGAAATGATTCGGGGGCCTTTGTGAATTGCCTATGAGGATTAACCTGTTCTGTCATGTTTGATTAGTGGTTTTTATGAATAGCTTTAAGTTTTTCTAGCTTGTTGACTTGTTTTTTCTAATTTTTTATGGGCACTAGGACTCTTGGGAAAGATAAGGCATTGCCTCTCAAACAGACCCCTGCCATCTGCAACTGACCGGAAGAAGTTTGATCGTGACTTCGCCATCTCCACTTCCTTTCACGGCATACACAACATTGCCCAGAACAACAGCAAGGTTCGAAAGGTGATCTGGCTGTCTGTGGTGATGGGCTCGGTCTCGCTGTTGGTGTGGCAGATCTACAGTCGCTTGCTCAATTACTTCATGTGGCCGACCACAACGTCTATAGAGGTTCAGTACGTGGAAAAAATCGAGTTCCCCGCGGTGACATTCTGTAACTTGAACAGGTATGAATCATTGATGCAAGCATGTTTTTTAAAAAAATTAATTTTAGTATAAACTTCTCTGGATGTTTAACAGAAGGTGTTCCGATGTAGTATTTAAAACATTAGCACTTTAAAACTGAACTTAAAGTACAAAGATCAGGAAATAAACTTGCTAATTTCTCCATCCACTCATTTTCCTTTCCCTCATTACCTTGTGTAGTAATACACAGGTAAATGCCAAGCCCAATGGCTAAGCAGATGAAAAACAGCCTGGTTTCCTGGACTCAGGTATGCTAGTGAGAGCAGGGTCTCGCTGTGTAGCTGAATGATTATTAAGTACCAGGCTCTCCGTGTGAAGTGTGTATGGAGAGGAGGACAGGAGGGAGAACTCACAAGGGCACCAAGGCACAGCAAATGAGGATGTGGGGTTTGGTTGTTTATGTGCTGGGCTGTCTACCTTAGCAGGGGCGGGGCTACCCGGACACCCAAAGGTGTGCATCATGGTCAGTTGCCTGGGGCCCTGAGCTCGGAAGAGCGTTACACTCAGCTGAGTTCTGTGCTGCCACTCTCAAGCTCTGCACTGCGGCGCACAAGTTGTAGTTACTTGTACCAGGCCAGCGGGGAGAAGTGCACCTCACAGCAAAGCCTTAAGACTGTGTAGCATGAGGCTTGAAAGATCATATGTATGAATTCTGCTGGATGGGGGTGTTCTTTAAGACTCACAGGCTATTAATGAACTGACCATGGACAGATCCCTTCATCTTCTTTGTGTGTGTGTGTGTGTGTGTGTGTGTGTGTGTGTGTGTATGTGTGTGTGTGTGTGTAGAGAGAAAGAGAGAATACACAAATATGTATTCATTCATTTTGTGTATTTTCTGTAATATCAGTTCAAGTAATGCAGTTTTCTTTGTTTTGCGAGGCAGTTCTAGAACTAGTAGTGGATGCATTGTTCGTGTTATAAAAGGTTTGTGTGACCTCTCATCCTTCAAAGCTTAATGTATGCATTAAGGTGTCAGAAAGCAAACATAAGCCAACCTTCTCACAAGGGGAAAGATCTTCAGCATTCATTGCCTCTCACTACTCAAAAGCATGTATTCTGACAAGGGCAAGGCTTGCTTGTAACTACACTTGGTTGAAAGAGGCTGATACACTGGAAGGACCATATGGGAGGAGCCACAGTCACTGTTCCCAGGGAACCATCTGTAACTAGTGGACAGAAACGTCTTCAGAGACTGAACCATTAACAGTATTCAGTCTGAAGGAAATGGAGCCGAAGAAGACAGGACCCATCGGAGTGTTTACTTATGGAATGTCAGAGCTAATGGGGAAGCTTTGTTCAACTTAGACAAGGCTCCTCCCTATCACCCTTTCTGTCTCGGCATGACAAACATTGCCCTCCTGGTAGATCTGGGGAAGAAAAGCAAAGCTCCCCATGCCTCACCTCCCAGCCAGGCTTCCAGTGTGTCTTGGGAGAGTCAGGCCCCAGCATGTTGGGTCCAGGCCCATGTGGCAGAGGCTAAGTTTTACATGAGTGTGACTTGGGAGCATGTCTTTGACTCCCGTGTGTCAGGTGGAAGAGAAATGTCACGGACTCTGCTTCTAACACTCTCTCGTGTGCAGCTACTTACCTATAAGAAATTGAGAGCTGACGTGAGAAAATGGTGCTCAGGGTTCATGATAACTGAGAAGGGATAAAAAATTTTAATAAGTCCCTGGGGCCTGTGTGTGCATGCGTAGGAGAGAGTGCAAATCACAGGCTTATCCTATTCTGGCCTAAGTGACACAATTCTGTTCACTAAAAGCCAGGTTATGAAACAGAACATAATGAATGTGTAAAAATGCTGAAGATGAAAAGAAAAAAAATGTAAGAAAAAAGTCATAATAATACTTTTTTTATTTTCACATTTTTGGAAAAGGCCATACATTCTTATCAGTTTCAGTATTTTAAAAATAACATTGCATTTTGCTTGAAAGAGTAATGCAGTCGCCTATGACTTCATCAATATCAGTCTTTTCCTGCATTAGGGTTTGCTATACTCAATGTCACATTCAATATAGTCTTCATGTATTAAGCCTAGTAGATGCCTGTTGTAGTTTTCACTCTGCTTCACTTACAATTTATGAAAAATGTCAATTACTTTCAATTTTTAAAAGTTTCTTTACATAAAAGAATGAAAAGACAAGAGGAGCTAATCTCATAAAGGTCTGTTTGGCACAATGTCAAAAAAATTAAGTTGTGCGATAGAATCTGGAAAATGAACTATTATTTATGGATATTTGGAACCAAGTTGGTAAATTACAAACAGCTCTGTATCAGTTTTCTGCTAAATGTTATCCTTATAGTACTCATCACATATTTCCATCACATTTTGCCAAAATGATCTTTTTCTCTTCTAGTACAACTCGGGACAGCGCTTCTAGGTAAGCGCTCGTGTGTTAAGCATTGTCTCACCCAGCTCAAGTCTGTCTCGTCATCTGTATCTTCTGTACAGTCCCTGTGCTCATTTGTTTTCCCCAAATCGGTGTGACTATGTGTGCATACGTGTGAACGCAAAATACATAGTCCCACCCTCGCCGCCTCGCAATCCCGCCTTCCTTCCCTCCCTCATCTCCTCCCATGCCCCTCCCCAGTCCACAGTGGAGGATTTTTAATCAAATGTGATAAAGCAGTTTTTAGTTAGTGAGAGAACAATAAGATGCCACAGTCTTCTCAAGGGGGAGTCCAAAAGTCATTCTTCTTCAGGTATCTTCACTTTAAAATTACCAGTAAAGTACGAGGTTTCTTGTTAATACATGACCTGCTTAGATATCCTGACAGGAGTCAATGGAGGGCTGATCTGGGCATTAATTCGGCCATCTACTGGAACTTTTTATTTTGGGTCACGTGGTTTGAGAAAGTGAGTTTAGAGCCACTGGTGTATATAAGAATTCATTTAAGAATTGTTTTCCAGGAATTAGTTGGCTTACAGAAATCATTGAATTTTCTTACATTTTACTATATATTCTTCATAAGTTAGGGTCAATGGATACCATATATATATGTACATATATGTATGATTTTGCAAGGATAAGTTTCATGAAAGATTAAAGCAAACGTTGTGGAAACAAGGAGCAAGCTTTGTCTTGCAATTTCAAGTTCTGAATCTTGCAGGCAGGAACTCTAACTTTGGCCTATATACCCCAGCCTTCAACAACTTTTTCTAAAATGTAATTATTTAAAGCATGTATAAAAATTGAAAATAAACTCAGTGGATGACATTTTGGTTTTATGTTGAGTATTACACTGTATAAAAACTTTATTTCTTTGTTTCTAATATTACTAGGCTTTATCTACATCATACAATATAACAGAATTACCTGTATGATCTCAACTTTCATTAGTGTAACAAATATAGTTAAAGAGAATATTTTAAGATTAATTCTTCCTTACTAATTTTATTAACTATACACTCATAGGAGGGCTAATTGTTTAATTTTGAGAACTAATTCACTTCATTTCAAAATAATTGCATACCCATTTTGAAAGTAATCCTGAAAGAGGCATTGCCTCATAGCCTCCACAGGGCTTCAAAGGTGGCATGGTGACTACTGACTCTGTGTGAAAACCGTGCCTGCCACCAAAATCTGCCAGTCACTATCTCCTGAAAATGGTTTGCAGAAATTATATTGACTAAGAGAAGGGAGGCTGTAAGGCATCATGACATTAAGAAGAGTGTCAGGAGTGTGTCAGAGTGAGAAGGTTGTTTACAGGGCTGGGATGGAGCTGGCCGTGAGAGGACCAGAGCTGGGGGAGTGAGACTTGAGAGTTTGTCGGATGCTGGTCACGAGAACAATCGTTACGCAACAGCTACAAAACACCACGTAATATTGGCTTAGGGTTTTTGTTTGTTTGTTTTGTATTTATTGGAAGAAGATTGGAAACGGCTGCTACTAGAAAGAAAACATTTAGAGATAAAACATTTTGTAAAGAAAGGTACATGGACTCAGTGAGTTACACACACACACACACATACACACCAATAACAAAGAAGAGATGGTAAATTGGGAGGTAGACACAGGAAGAGTTGGATGGGGAAGGAAGGGTGGGAGCAATACATACAAAGAACCCATCTATGAACTTCTCAAAAGGTTTAAATTCAAATAAATAAATACAATGCAATGAAAATAAAGATTAACAGTTAAATAATAATGTAACATAATTATTGTCACCACCAGGATATTTGTAGATATTAGAAACGTGGAAAAATATACCAAAAGCTCTGATCATGTTTGATATTACTTTCTGATAATCATTTTATAAATAGCTTAACAGAAACTACTAAGTAAATAAATAACCCTTCTTTGACAAGAGAAAAATGAGAATAAAATCTAGGTCAGGACCACCATGAGATAGCAACTCCCTTCATGAAAAAATGGTTATTTCTAAAAGGAGAGGGAGGCTGTGGAGGAAGCGTAACCTTTGCATACTGCTGGGAATTAAATTATTACAGCCATGTGGAATAGGACTGTGCTTACTCAGTACTCAGCTAACTACAGAGCTTTCATTATCCGGAAAGCCTACTATTGGCTACTTATTCAAAGAAAAGAAAGTCAATATGCAGAACAGGCATGTGCATGCCAACAACAGTTGCAGCATCATTTGCTGCTCAACAGACAGAAACAACGCAAAAGGCATCAGCTGATGAATGGGCAACAAGCTGCGGCCCATGCGCACAATGTGTGTCCTTATAGCCAGTATTAAATTAAAAGCCTTTCGCTTGTACTGAGGATGGAGCTGGAGAGCATTATGCTAAGCCGAGTAACCTAGGGATGCTTAGCTTGCTTAAACTCCACACGCTTCTTTACTTCTTATCTCTCTAATAAGTATCCAATACCCTCAAAGTTAGTTAAATCAAATTTAATAGTTTTACAAAAAAGAAATTGTCAAGTCTAGAACAAAAGAAGATTCTAGAACGACATGCAAGCCATGCACTTGTATAACATGGAAGCCAATAGAGAAGAAACCACACGTTCCATTCTGTGCCGTCAGTCAAGGAGCAGAGAGGAAGGCTCACGTCAAGGTTTATAGGACAAAAATAGGAAATCACTAATTATATTCTGAAGGAACGTGAGAAATAAAGGACTTAAATAAAGATTTCAACATGATGCACAGTAAGAAATCCTTAACAAATATCGCCGTTTGCCAATGTACTTTTGCAGTGTTTCTGTCATCTAGAGAATTCAGTTTTATCATTTTCACTGATGCCTTTATTCCCACTAACAGAATCCAAACAGATGCTGCATCCAAATTTGGCATCATTTTCTTCTTATGGGACATAGTCTCCAAAGTCCTCCGCCTCCAGGAAGTCAGTGCCAACCACACCGGCCCTCCAGAGGCTTTAGATTTTGTTGCAAATCAACAAAACTTCAGCATAACAGAGTTTGTCAAGAAAAACGGTTTTTATCTCAACCATGACACTTTGTTGCACTGTGAATTTTTTGGAAAACCATGTAGTCCAAAGGTAATGGTTGAACATTTCTTCAAATATAATAAAAACAGTAGACGATGATTTTATTCTGTTTTGTTCGCAAATAAAATCAATCCATTGAGAGAAATCAACCCCAGTTTATGCAAGTACATTTCATTAGCTCTGCTAAGTTCTGCTTTGCGGTAGCAGGAGATGTGGGGTCCATGTGAGACACATTTCTTCTTTCAGGAAGTTGTGTAGGGGCCGGAGAGATGGCTGAGGGGGAAGAAACTTGCTCTATAGACAGGGTGATGTGGATGCAGAACCAGCACCCTCCCAAAAACTCTGGTGCTGCTGTGTGCACGCCTGTGACTTCCACACTGTGGGAAACAAGACTTGTCTGGGCTGGAGACCAGCCTCACTCCAGGCAATAAGGTGGAACGTGGCAGCACAGGGCAGAGCTGTCCTTCGGCGTCATCACACGTGGGCACATCACCGCACACACCCACACATAAACAAAAGTGCACACACTCATGTATACACGCACACACGCACACAGAGGTGTGGGCAGTTTGGAAAAAAATGATAGATGACAAAAAGTTTTGAAGACCTTTCTGAAGCATAGTTTTTGTTTTCAGAATAAAACATCTTAACCCGATATAATACTTTAATTTTTTTCCTTATTCTTTATCAACCTGTTTGAAGAAATTATTTTTCTCCCCCTTAAGCACCTATGGCACTGTATCTAAGCTAGTAGCACTTTCTGAGAGCACACAGAAAATGAGCCTTCCAGCTGTCAACTAAGAACTGCATGGCTCATGCAGGAGATATGCAGAGAGCTTTATATACGTAGTATCTAAAACTCAGTTTTATTTGCTTACACAGATGGTCTAAGATTAAGTACAGCATGCCTGGATTCTGAGCCTTTATTTCCCACATCTTTAATTCTCTATTCTATGAGATAGACTCAAAGTGATTATCAGCTTCATAGTCCCGTGATACAATAACAGATAAAAGAAATTTCCAGGAAAGACTTGATAGTGATGAAGACAAGCAGCAGGAGGCCTGAACTCTAACTTAAGAATACAGGGAGGTGGGGAGGGGAGAAGGTAAGAGGAAGGAGGCAAGGAGGGGGTGCTCTTCTTCCTGGCTTTGTATTTACTAATACATTTACATTTGATACTGGGAAATTTTTCACTAGTAATAATATACATTACAGAAACCCAATTCTAGTAATCTGTGAAATAAGACAATATGAACTGGGTTAGTTAACTGAGTAACCTAAGAGCAGACAGGGATGGCTTTAGAAACTGCTGTACCAGCCTGGCGGTGGTGGCACACACCTTTAATCCCAGCACTAGGGAGGCCGAGGCAGGTGGATATTTGTGAGTTCAAGACCAGCCTGATCTACAGATTGAGGAAACTCTCTTCCAAAGAGCCCCCCTTACTTTGATTCTGCCTTTCTGTCTCCTGACTGGGCCTGCCTGCTTTTGGTATGCTCTCCCTCACAGAGAGCCAACAATTCAGCCACCAGTAGCTTTCTCACAGTGATACACTAGCAATCAAGAATTCAGGCAAAGTCCCACTGTCTGTTCTTAAGCCAGTGGCCTAGGAAAGAGGTGGGGGTATGCAGGGCATACCAGCATATACAACAGGCATATCTCTGTGGAGGATGAAGCAGGCTATCAAAAGAGGTCAATGGAGTTCCTGTCCTCTCCAGCTCTTACTATTTCCCACTTCTTACATAAAACTTCACAAGGAGAGCAACAGAACAAGAAAATTTGAACACAGGGAACTTCTCAGAGACTCATACTCCAACCAAGGACTATCCATGGAGATAACCTAGAACCCTGACAATGCAGCCACTTCTGATGAGAACTGATAGATTAAGATCAGAAAGAAGGAGAGGAGAACCTCCCCTATCAGTGGACTTGGGGAGGGGCGTGCATGCAGAAAGGGGGGGAGGTTGGGACCGGGAGGGGAGGAGGGAGGGGCTTATGGGGGGATACAAAATGAATAAAGTGTAATTAATAAAAGTTAAATAAAAATTTTTTTTAAAAAAGAGGTCAATGGGAAGCAGAACGTGACTGCTCCCGAGAGAACACGGGCATGGAGCGGTGACCTCTCAACGAAGGGTGTGGAAGCCATCACCAAAGGCTAAAAATACGTATTGATGAATGATTAATTTAAAAAAAAAAAGTAGAACAAGGTATTTTAAATTGTAAAAACAATAATTCTTAATTATATATGAAAATGTATCATTTAAAATCTTTCTGATATAGGCATCCGCATATATATACATATTTGCAAGTATAAAAATGATAGAGTAATTGGAATTTGGGAGCATTGAAAAATCCTCACTGATTGTGTTTCATTTGGTTCATTTCCATATTGGAGGATTTCAGACACGTCTTTACTGAATATGGGAATTGCTTTACTTTCAACCATGGTGAGAACATCCAAAGCAAGAATAAAGTAAGCGTGTCTGGAAGAGGCTTAAAGCTGCTGTTTGATGTCCATCAGGTAACCACTTTGCTTCCTTTTGGTCTGGGTAGAAAAGCCCAGTGAATATGCACAGGTTTCCATCTCCAGCATGAATATTTTGCTACGTCGAATAACTTCTACCTGTTGAGTTTATTTCACCCCTTCCTTATTTATCTGAATGCATGGATTGTGAATTACTGTTGTCTTAGAGTTTCAGAAAGTAGGTTCTTCAGGCATAAGCTACATACTTTTCACTGTTCTACTAACTTCTAGTATCATGATTCCAGAGATCATCATTCAGCAGAGTAAAGAAATTGATAGTTCTATCATGACGCTATGACAGTATCGTTAAAAGCGTAAAGGTAGTAGGATTTTAATCTGAACACGGAAACAGGCTTTGAGAACTCTGTGTATACTTTATTAGTCATATAATTCTTCTCTGAGAAAAAAAGTCCTACCTTGGAAGAATAAAACACAAATCAGGTTTCCTTGGTGATTGAGGTTTGTAACTGGCCTAGAAAGTTGTATTTGGATCTGGACTCAGGTGTTCCAGCATCTAAGAATTGCACTGCTCTGATTTCAAAGGTGCTGGGTGAATAGTCCCCACTGTTGCCCTCTGCTACCAAGGGTTTATAGATCAGGATTTCTACCATGCTGGCATATATTGAAAGACAAACAATGAATGACAGAGACTCCGCCTTGAATCACAACAAATTATTGTATCCTCCATAAACATGAATGAGGCCATGACTGCTTTGGAAGAACTTTTGTTAATATCATATTTATAACTTCTTCCTGTGTCCCACTCAAAATAATTGAATTTATGGCCAAATACAACCCTACACTCAGAAAATATTTGGTTAATATTTAAACTCTTTAGCTAATAGCTCTAGCATTCACTTAAACATTAATTTTAAATTGTATTAGTGGAAAATCTGTAATATTTGCATTTTACAATTAAAACCTACATATTTAATGTTCCATAAGCAAATTGCACATAGCTATTTCTATAAGCCAACCTTGTTAAACCTTCTAAGAGACATTGATTAGGTTGGCTTATAGAAATAGCTATATTCGTAACTCAGAGGCCCAGAGTTACAGAAACGTAAAGCATACTCCACAAAACTAATTACACAAGAGTGGACTGATTCACCGCATGCTCTTTTTATGTGCACATCCAGTCTCTTCCTTACTGCCTGAAACTACAGCACTACCAGCAATTTATGTGTTAGAATGCTTACCCGATATAGATTTATATAGTAAAAGTTGTTAAAGAAATAGTGTTATCCTTCACAACTTTGAAGAAGTCACTTGAATTTTAAATAAGGTCTGGGCTTTAATTACACAGAGGAGAGAGTCCAGTGATTACCTGATACACTTGCAACAAAAAAAGAAAAGTCAAGTAGAAACTTCTGAAAGACATCTAGGAGATGAGGAGAGAGGAAGTGAGGTCATCAGTGGAAAACAATGTGGATTCATTCATACAGGAGCAACGGACACAGGTGTATTGTATGTATACTCTTAGAAGCAGCCACCTCTGCTATTGAGCCAGATTGAGCCAGAAAAGGCTGTTTTAGATACCCAATTCCCACACCTCTCACCACAGTAGGATGAAGCCTGACATGATGTAACTAGCGTTAGGAAGTGTATTACACAGCGAATTGATAAAACCAAACTTTGAGCTCCCGTGGAACTATCATCCCTGTGTGTGTTCACTTCAGGAGGAATTTATTGACAATCCCATCCCTGGCTTTGCTGATGCCGGGATCATCTTTGTTATCCACTCACCAAAGAAGGAGCCGCAGTTCGACGGCTTGGGCTTGTCCTCTCCTGTGGGAATGCATGCACGGGCGACCATCCGCCAACTGAAGGTAAGAACTTGGGAGCTGGACAGACAGACAGACTTGGTAATGAATGCATTAAGCACACAAATAGCCTCGTTCATAGAAGACACTTTTATCCCATGCTTTTGAACCATAACTGAAAAGGCCAACACTTTATTTCCGATTCTTCTATTTATTTTTTTTAATCTGGAGGCTCCTAGGCGGTATACGGCCATGGATTCCTGTGTACAACCTAAGTGAGCATGGGAAATCTATTAACTCCAAAGCAACTTCAGATCTTACTTTAAAAAGATCTGAAAGTCAGCTTCAGAATTGAATGTTTCCTCTGTGAAGCCATTTGCAAAGAAAAGACAAACAAACAAACAAAATTCAACTAAGTGGAAGAGCAGCTGCCATCGAGAAAAGCCAGGGTTTCTGGCTTCCATTTGACAGTCTTTTACTCAGGAACTTCTTTAACTTTATGAATTTTCATTCACTCCCTGTACTCTTGGCCGTGGGCAGCTTTCCCTTTCCAGAGACAGAAAGTTGAAGTGAAGTGACATAAAGAAAGCCCCTACTCACTGCACATTAAATAACAGCTGCTTAATAGATTGGCTTTCGTCACATCGGTTGATGGTGTGAGTACCGTGAGTGATATGGTGGCTAACCTTGGCTAGGTGGTTTTTCTTATGTGAATTCAGTTTTAGAATGATTGGCCTATCTGATGCTTTCCTTAGCAATGAGGTGAAAGGTGTAAAGGCTGCTCTCATAATGGCCTTCAGGGACTTTTAAGATAAAAGTGTAGACAAATGGTTAAATTTAGTGTATTGAAAAATAAATAGAAAACTATGAGGTAAGTAAAAGTGTACAGTGTCCTTTAAGGGAAAATGTGGCTCATCAGAAGCCAAGTCTTCTAACTCTGGCATCTGCTCCACCTCCAGACAGTCCACCAGGAGTACCCATGGGGAGAATGCAAGCCTGACATCAGGTTGAGGAGCTTTTCCACCTATAGCACATACGGTTGTCTGAAGGAGTGCAAAGCCCAGCACATACAAAGGCTGTGCGGATGTTTGCCCTTTCTGCTTCCAGGTAGATGGACACTGATAACATCTCTCCATGCTGCTAAATTTGAAGCCTAGGAAATTGGTGTGGCCTCAAATTATTTTCTGTTCTCATGAAAGTCTACACTGGAAAATGTCCCACTTGCTAAATGTTATCTTACTTGGTACAGTTGAAAGCATGGAGGCATCACAGGGCTTTCTGGGAAAGAAAGTGATGCTGTCAGCCTAAGTCCTCAATTCTTACTTACAAGGTTAAAATCAGACATTCTTATATTTTTGGTTGGCCACAGTAGAGGACAATGCAGCCACTTTTGATGAGAACTGATAGACTAAGATCAGAAAGAAGAGGAGAACCTCCCCTATCAGTGGATTTGGGGAGTGGCATGCATGCAGAAAGGGGAGGGAGGGTGGGATTGGGAGGGGAGGAGGGAGGGGCTTATGGGGGGATACAAAATGAATAAAGTGTAATTAATAAAAAATTAAAAAAATAGAAAGTAAAAAAAATCAGACATTCTTAAATACCTTCAGTTGCATGAATTTCAAAGGTCTTGCAATTTGAAATAAAAAAACAGGTCATGTACACATATAACACTACAGACCTTAAAGGTCCCACTGTTGGGTAATTATTTGCCTTGGGACTGTGAAAGAAACTCCAAGACTTCTTTGCACATAGTTTCAGGTATTTTCAAGACCAGGAATCTCTTGGGAAATCCCTGAAGTAGGCCTCAGTGAAGAAGGCTAAAACTTGGGTCTGATATCACATTTTCCTGTCCAGTTGATGTCATACCTCTTATGTGCTTCTTATAGAATGGGGAGAATTCTGTCCTCCAGAGCAGGGTGCTTATAAGAATAAAACAAGTAACAAAAAATAGAGATAAAGCTATAGAAATGATGAACAATTTATGTTTTATTTATTCTGCTGCCTATCCTTGGATTGTTCATAAAGAGATGTGGGCTATTAGAAAATTGAAAATGGAGAGACCAAGCCAGTTTGAGTTTATCGTTTGCTACTGTGGCCTCTCTAAATCACTCATATTCTCTCTCTCTCTCTCTCTCTCTCTCTCTCTCTCTCTCTCTCTTTCTCTTTCTCTTTCTTTCTCTCTGGCCCTCACTTCTTCCCTCTCTGTGTGTCTATCTGTCTGTTTGTATCTCTATATCTTTCTCAATAAAGACTCACAGAAATACTGTTGACTCAATAAGCACTAAAGAAAATGAAGCAAGTTCTCAAACATGATTTCTCCTTCCTCCCCACTCTTGCCCCTCCCTTCTTCTCTTCTCCCCCTCTTCCTCTTCTTTTAAACTTCTTGAATTTGGGACACAAATAACCCTCCCTTTTAGTCTCACAAGCATTCTTAAAATTGTCCACAATTCTCAGGGTATGCTTTTTTTCAGACTTAGAGGATTCTTGAGTAAATATTGTGGCCAACCTCAGAGATCACACTTGTTATAACACTAAAGAAATATTCTTTTAGACCCAATGGCCATAGTTTTTAAAATCAGCCCAGGAAGTAAGCCCAGGAATAGTATAATTTGATTTTTCTTCTTTGTCTCAAGGTCTATATCAGGTGCATTAGAAATATTGGCACTTACATGCCTTCATCCAACCAATAAAGGCAGCTCATCATTGAGTGTAAAGATATTTTTTATATATGTATATTAATATTACTAACAATAATATGCTAATAAAGACAGAGAGAGCAGGATACAAGCTAGAGTAATTCAAGACCTCTCCAGCTGCATGGTTTAGGACAAGCCACTTTCTGAGGCTTAGTTCTTCATCTGTAAAATGATAATTCCTGCATCATAAGATTATGAAATGGATAAAATAAGGTAAAAATTGTAGCAGCAACTGTAAACTCAAAAAACACAAGCATTCAAAAACATGAAAACTTGATTCGAGGTGACAAGCAAAAAGAAAAAAAATCATTGTTCTCAATAGATACTTTCCTTGGATTGGATTCTGAAATGTTTGCATATCTATGTTCCAAGGCTAAATGTCCATCTGAAGAATGGGTAGAAGGAAGATATGGGAAAATGGTCTTTTGATTTAGGTTGCTAATTTCATCAGAACTCTGGGGCCTCTGGGTATCTCAGGGCTTCTGGTGCCCCAGTGCTGGAGGTGTGCTCAGCGTGATGAGGTTCTGCATTCAATCAACTGCATCCTCAAAGTAGAGACTCCAGTGCCTAGAATCAAGCCCCTAAATTACCCTTTCAGACAGACGTACATTCCAATGCTTCCTTGCCTTTTCTAACGGGAGAAATGTCTGTGTTACTGTTTTTAAGGAAATGGTGTGGAATGTGATCTACTAAGATACTACAACTGTGTGTCTCCCATCCTTGGTAAGTGGCTTGTTCCTTCTACTTTCAAAGCATACATGAGAATTATTTAGTTACAAGACACAAAAATAACACTGTGGATAGACCAGATATGAAAAAAAGCTGTATAAAGAATTGTTAGAAGCTCTCTAATACTCACTACATAAAAATAGATAGTAAAAGAAAATTCCCTCTGTCTACCATATTCTATTTTTTGTATAATATGATCCATACACATAACTTTATGTTTCTGTTTTTGAGTCATTGATGCCCATTTGTCTAAGTTAAAGGCACCTAACAGAGTACCAACAAGAGCTCAGAGGGTTATTTCCAAATCTTTATGTTGTTTATAACTCTGTCCTCTATGTTATCAAAATACCCTTGATTTATATTGCATTACTAAAACTTTTCATTTTGTTTGGGTTTTTGAGGCAGGGTTTCTCTGTGTAACCTTGGCTGTCCTGGACTTGCTTTGTAGACCAGGCTGGCCTTGAACTCACAGAGATCTGCCTGCCTCTCCTTCCTGGAGTGCTGGGATTACAGGCTTGTGCCACCATGCTGTCTAATCATTTATATTTCTAAGAACCATTCTTTCATTTAATTCCACATGTGCCACATGTAGCATCTTGCTGTAAATGAAATCATAAACACACACATCTTAAGCATTGACAACTTAAACTGATTTATTTCACCTAAATATTTTATAGACCCCAACATTGTATTTTATTCTTGCATAATTTGCTCCATACATATAACTTCATATTGATACTTTTAAGTCATTGATTGCCTTCTTAAAATGTAATACATTGTATATCTTTTTATTATTTTTATTTCTGCTGTTGGGGCATAACAACCTATCAAAACAAGCCAGAGGAGAAAGGGTTCACTTTAACTCACAGTTCGAGCTTACATACAGTTCATTACTGTGGGGAGATCAAGTAGGAAGTAGGAGCTGCAGGTCCTATCACATATTGCAGCCACTGTTAAGAGCAGGGACGAGCGAGCTGGTGCATGCACCCTTGATCTCACTTTCCTTCCTTCACTCACACAGTTCAAGATGCCCGAAAGCAGTGGTCCTCAACCTTTAATACAGTCCCTCACCCTGGGGTGACCCCCTACCATAAAATAATTCATGTTGTTACATCTGTGTTGTCTGATGCTCATAGCTGACATCTATGAAAGGGTTATTCAATTTCCAGAGTAGTCACAACCCACAGGTTGAAAATCTAACTCTGTATCAAGTGTTTCCACCGACAGATAGCAGGTGTTCTCATATCAATTAATATAATGTAGATAGATGTGACCACAACAAAGCTTATCTAGGTAATACTTAAAGAGTCCCTTCCCAGATGTTTTAGGTTTTGTTAAGGTGACAAAACTAACCTTTATAATCTTGTGTGAAAGTCTTTTTTTCTAACCTATTTTAGAAATATCCTTAAGATAGCAGCAGTGGAATTAGTATTTTCATTTAAATGGTTATAAAATATTCTAAGGGGTGCTTATGAGGTAGAACTTATATTTTTCTTCAGTTTCAAACCAAACATACAAATGTCACATTGAAAACAAAATAAAAATCAAAATTATGTGAATGTGAGTGTGGTATGAGTGTGTGTGAGTGTGTTGAGTGTGTCAGAGCGCATGCATGTGAGCGATTCTATGAGAACAGTGCGTAAGTTTATATGAGTATGTTGGATCATATGTGGGGGGATAGGAATGTACAGTCGAGCAGAGGTGAGAAGGTGACAAAGCCTGATAGTTGGAGAACATGGTGGCTGCCAGAGAAGCTAGGGGACCATGGGAACAAGAAACCTTAAGCCAACAGAAGCCGTCAAACCAGTTTAGAATACATCTAAAGATAAGTGTCGTTTAAGCCACGGACCTGCAGAATTCTATCCGTGTGTTCCTCTCAAAGTGGCATGGCAAACACCACTCTCCATCCTACTCTGTCCAAACGCTTGATTAATATAGAAATCGTCCAGAAACTTCCTGGAATTTCTCATTCCTAATGAAACTCTGGCCCTAGTGGTTCAGTAGATGAAGGATTACAACTGTTCTATATTTTGTCCTGTTGGTTGTATTATCAGTAAGATAAAAACATGGTTTACTAAGATTATAGGTATACTTAGCTACTTTTTAAATACAGAAGGACAAACAAGACTTTTTCCTCCCTCTTGAGGAATCTTCTCTGAGCGCACTGTTGCGGTTTCCGTTCCAGACCACATTGAGGTCAAGGCACTGTGCACCATGGGCACGCACAACTCCAGCTGCCCTGTGTCCTGTGAAGAGACCGAGTACCCAGCCACCATCTCTTACTCCACGTTTCCAAGTCAGAGAGCAGCAAGACTTCTCACCAAAAAATTGAATCGAAGCCAAGAATATATCAGGTAATGCAAGTAGTCTTGTAAGTTATTCATGATTAGCATTCGTTTTTCTTTACTGAACACTTGAAGTCTCAGGAAATGAAAGGCTGTTCAATTGAGGAAGACAATGCAGATGCCATTGAGCTAACAATGAAAATGATAGGGATTTAAAACCAGATAGGATCACATCTTTTCACCCCTTTCTTTAGCTTTCAACAGACTCATTTGATGCTGCCTGAAGTCAGTTGCTCATGGTTATTCCTTTATTGGCCTGACTGGAGAAAATATGAATGCTAGCTAATGTTAGCTAATGTGAAAAAATGACAGACTTTTACCTGTACAATCTGTGACCTGAGTCTCCTAATAACTATATAAAATATGTGGAAGAATTATTTTCATGTTACTACACCTTACTAAAGCCCACTGAATTTCAAATAGCGACCTATTGAGGCAGTCAGTGAGATGGATGGAAGTTGGTCTCTGCCCACCAAGTCTCGGTGACATAGGATTCTAACTCCAGTACTAAGCACCAAATTAGTTTCCTCTTTGATGAACCATGTTGCTCATTGCAAATTCAAAAGTGTAATGACATTTTAGGGAGAAAGCCAAACATATTTATAAAAAAATATACTTTACTGCATTTTAGTAGCAAACTTCCAGGACCTGCACAGACTGAGAAATGAAAAGCCCATGCTTACTGTTACACCACTCAACCAGAAAAGAGTAATGCAGAGAAGGAGCCTGGAATTCCTGTATGGCAGCCACACTACAAATATTGCCTGATTGCCCTTAACAGACACTTCAAATGCTGTGTTCTCCTAAAGAACCTAAAATAGGCTCATTTATAATTGTTACAAAACAAGATTGGATAAATTATAATAAATGTTTACAAAAACACTGCTGAGGCCTGTCCACTGATGAATGCATCCTTGCTGTGCCTCCCAGACAACACCGGAAGGAAAACAGACGATTTCCAGTATCTGATTCTTGACCCCATTTTTCTACTTGGACTCATATTCTTTTATAAATTGTTGAGTGCACCAGGGAGGAAAAAAAGAAAAAAGAAAAAAAACAAGCCTTAGAATTATTGCTAACAAGAAGAGAATCCTTGCCCCCTCTTTGGATGAACTACTTCCCAGCCCAGGGGACTGCGAGGCACACCTGTCTCCACCGTGCTTGCGGGGTGCTAAGTGGGTATCTTTGTAAGTGACTGTCACGTGTTAGCACTCAGGCTCTTATCCTCAGAAAGGCCAACCAGGTAGGGTCTGCTTGCCTCTGGCTAGGCACCATGAAACAATAACACTGCTATAAAAGCATGGATCTGGGTCTGTTTTTTTTTTAATTTTTTATTAATTACACTTTATTCATTTTGTATCCCCCCATAAGCCTCTCCCTCCTCCCCTCCCGATCCCACCCTCCCTCCCCTTTCTGCATGCATGCCACTCCCCAAGTCCACTGATAGGGGAGGTTCTCCTCTTCTTTCTGATCTTAGTCTATCAGTTCTCATCAAAAGTGGCTGCATGCAGAAAGGGG